TCCACTCTGTGCAAAGTTTTCTTATAACATTGCTTATATATTCGGCAGTATGCCTTTTTCTAAATCACCTACTGTTACAGAGTGAAGTTGATTTTCGAAATAGAAGTGACATATTTGACAAAACAAGATACGATCATGAGGAAGTCGATAATTGCGGAAGAAAAACTGGCTGTAACCTTACGATACCTTGCTACCGGAAGAAATATTAATGATTTAAGATTCTCAGTTATAATGTCACCAGCTGCTATCAGTCAGGCTATTATGGACACATGTCAAGCACTACTTTATGTTTTTCAGTCTTATATCAAGGTAAGTGAAATAAAAGATTACATTTTCTGTAAGTATCATATATTGTACCCAGTACTAAATGTTGAACAAATAAAAAAAACAAAAATAACATTAAGACAAAAGAAAAACTTAAGCAAAGATTTAACAAAGTTAAGCAAAATATGTCATGAAGTACTCGTACTTATTATTCATTTACCGGAAAATTAGCAAATAACGAACCGGCAGTGGAGTATGTAGAGTCATGATGTGTATTATATTCAACCGGTATAGATGGAGACGAAAGAGGTGTAACCACGTAGTTAGGAGATGGCTGAGATGGATGTGAAGATGGGGAATGGTAGGAAAGAGATGACTGGAAAAAAAATTATACTTACATTTAATATTTATTACAGATGCCGTCGACAGAGGAAGAATGGAAAAATATTGCTTCTGATTTTGGGGAAAGATATCAGTTCTGGAACTGCTTAGAGGCTTTAGACGGCAAGCATGTTGCAATTCAAAATCCGAAACATTCAGGATCGTTATACTACAACTATAAAGGTTACTACAGTATAGTTCTCATGGCATTAGTAAACTCAAGCAAAGAATTTATTGTGACAGATGTTGGTGGTAATGGCCAAATATCCGATGGCGGTGTACTATTTTACACTAAATTCTGGGAGCTTTATCAAAAAGGTGATTTAAATATACCAAATTCATCGGCAATGCCAAATTCAGCATAAGAATTTCCGTATGTTTTTATATCAGACGATGCTTTTGCATTAGGAAAAAAATTAATGAAGCCCTACCCACATAATGCATGCAATACTGACCATAAAAAGGCAAATTGGATATTCGTAAAAATGAATAAATTAATTATACAGTGCTTTCGAAAAGTAACGAATAAATTCATTATTTTTTAAATTGAGAAGTTTTCGAAAAAATCCCCTGGAACGTCGATTTTGTTTTCAAAAAAAGACACTTTTTGACATACGACCCATATTTGTGACGTCATCGTTGTTCGAGATATGACGTCATCGACAAATTTTTTAAATAGCAACCCCCAATTTTGACCATGCCATTTGAAAGAGCGTGTCATTCTACATACGCATCGTCAAAAATCATGGTTGCCTGACAGTAGCCTTAGCGAACAAGAATGTTTTTATTGCTGTCAGATAAAAACTTGAAATCGTTCTTTATTAAATAGTTTTTTTTCGTTTTTTGAGTTATTTCTTTAGTTCTTATCTTTTGTTTGGCAAAAGTGCCTTTTTTAAAACCAAAATCGACGTACCAGGGGATTTTTTCGAAAACTTCTCAATTTAAAAAATAATGAATTTATTCGTTACTTTTCGAAAGCACTGTATAGTGAATACTGTAGTAATTATTTTTCTATTTTTTGTTTTGGAGATATCTCTTTTATTTATCATGTGTAAGTGTTTAATCAATAATAAATGTTTGTAGACAGTTTGTAGGTTAGAAGTTTTAAGTTTTTTTCTCAACAAGTACCTACGTCCGACCCTAGCAAAATAAAAAATCTCGAAAGATTTACAAGTTGCATTATACTTATAATTCTAGGGTTGGATAATCCCGATTAAAACAGGGCGTCTGGTGTATAAGTATATGTAAACAAGAACCTAAATAAACAAGAAATCTTTACCTGAGGTTTCTGGAATTTATCCAAAAATCGAAGATATTCAAAGGTCCCATTCTTCGGGATATAAATATCATCTGCCCCGGCCCATGATCTTCGAGACGATTCTATTTTTTCAGTTCTCGACGGTAATTGGAGCGTAGTGTATTTATTTTCTTTTTGACATCATCCAAGGTAGCCTGAGGTTTAGTTTTTTTATACTCGTATATAATTAACAGCTTTTCCAAAGCTTCATTCCTCTTGTATTTATTAAAGTAATTTTTATTTGTTTTATCCCAGAGAATTGGCAATGTTTCAAATGTAATAATAAAATCCTTCTCCGGTTCCAATGGCTGCGTAGGCGGCGAAGCGTCTTCAACTTCAACACGTGTCTCCATGGCTGTCTGGAAGGTACTGACGGGAAACTGATGAAACACAACACACGATCAGTCTGATGTCAATCCACAGCAGACTGACGAATCCATCATCCATCAGTCCATCAGTCAACGAATTACACGATCAGTTTGATCACAATCATGGACTGAACTGATGCCAAACTGAGCGCGTAACACCCGTCTAATAAATTTGTAAGTGGAGCTGCCAGCAAGGCGAACCGCGGCACGTATTCACGTAGCCATCCGGCAAGCCCGAGAGATTGTCGCAGCTCCTTGATGTTTTTCGGCGGCGCGTGCTCCTGGATACGCGTTAGGTGCCGTTCTTGTGGCAGGTTGTGATCTTTGGTGACGATGTGACCTAGATATTCTATATGCACCGCTGCGAATCTGCACTTCTCGGGTGAGACGCACAGTCCGTGTTGCCGGAGTCGTTCGAACACCAGTCTGAGGGGCTCTACGTGCTCCTGCGGCGTCTTACTATAGACGATGATTTCGTCTAGGTATACCTTCACGAAGCGGTGTAATTGCCCTCGTAAAATCTCGGTCATCGACTTCTGGAAGGTACCTGGTGCTCCGGACAATCCGAAGGGCATAACGTTAAACTCGTAGCTGCCGCCGTCTGGTGTTGTGAACGCCGTGTGCCGCTTAGAGGCTTCTTCGACCGGTACCTGCCAATAATCTGCCTTAAGGTCTAGGGTCGTGAAGTACTGTGCTTCACGCAGCTCCTTAAGCATGTTGTCAATTGGCGGTAGTGTGCCGGTTTCGACTAGCGTCTTTTCGTTAAGCTTGCGGTAGTCCACACAGAAGCGCTGGCACCATCCTTCTTTTTCACAAGCAGGGCTGGTGAATTGTACTCGGAAGTACTTCGTCGTATCACCCCCTGTTGCAGCATTTCTTCACCGGCCTTGTTTATCACTCGCTTCTTTTCTTCAGAACATCTGTATTGCGGGGTGTTGACAGGGTTGTCGTCGGGTAGAATTATGCGATGTTCTGCTAGTTTGTCAACGCCGGTCTAGGCTCGATCGAGAACACGTCCATGTACTCGCCCAGGACCTCCTAGCACTCTTCTTCGAAACTAGGCGGAATCTTCTCGCATAGCATTTCCCAAATATCGTCGTGTTGTTCGTGGTTTACTTCAAGCGGCGTCCCATTCCAATACATGCGTCGTCCGCGTCCATAATAAATCATCCCCTGGGAGAAATCCATTACGACATGATGTTCTAGTAGCCATGGCCGACCCAGTATGTATTCCTCGCAAAGGTCGTCGACCGCATTTCGGTGGAGAGGGTCGCCCCGTCCAGCGTGAATTCCACATCCGTGGTTCCGCTGGTCTCCACGTTGGTTCCTTGGCTAGCTAGCTGCACGCGAGGTCCATTTTTCCTATCTTCGGCGAATTCTGTTCGCATAAGGTTAACGCCTGCCCCAGAATCCACTAGGGCGGTGATCCTTCGGCTTCCTAACTGTAAAGTTAGCCGGGGTGCCTCCGCATTTCCACGAATCGTGTTAACCCTTACGTCCTCCAGAAATTCGCGCTCGCTGACGTCGTCCTCTAGGTCCCTCGGTGGCTGCGTTTCTTGTACAGGTTCCCCTTCAAGCGTGGGGCTCGTACCCATGTCCCTGAAATTCCCTATCTCATGCTGTCCTGCCTCCCTCGTTGAGACGGCTGGTCGTCTTTCCGTGTTTTCGCAGTGGAGCTCGTCTTCGTCGTATTCAGGTCGCTCCCACCTGAAATACGCGTTTTCTTCGATTACTTGATTTATTGTCGTTGCGGGGGCCCGGGTCGTGGCTGGGCCTGTGTCACGACCCCCGGGGCGTTTCCCTGGTACCGTCTAGGTTCCTCTTCGTCGACGTGCTGTCGCGGGCTCGGACGTGGCGGTCCTGGAAGTGGCCTGGGGGCCTCCCTCGTAGGCTGGTTCATTGGAGGTCGTCCTCGAGGTGGTGACCTCGGACGTTCCTCCGGCTGCCCTTGACGCCAGTCGTCGCGTCGCGACGGCGGTCCGTCGTGGTATTGTCGTTGTGGCGGCGGTCCCTCTTGGCGGAACTGTCGCTGCGGCGGGCCGTTTCCCTGGTCGCGAGGCGGCTGTCGTGGTGTCGGCGTGGGTACGTCGCGTTCTGAGTGCCTCGACGGTCCTCGCGAGTGCTGGGGCGCGCGGTGCTGGCCTAGGCTCACTCGAAGTTTGGGGATGTTGATATGCCAGATCGCCCTCGATGCACTCTAATTAATATTAACCTTTAGCATTGAAATAGTTCTTTAGAAGGAAAATGTTTCTTAAAAACAAACTAATAATTCATGCATTTAAAATGAGCTCATTTGTCGGCTTCTATATGTTTATAGTTTCGAGGGCAAGGGTCCCTTTGATAAGCGTTCTAATGAATACATAATACAATACTTATGAAATAATTCTAAATAGGTCTTAAAAATAAAATATAAGTATGTTTTGGTTAGCTACATAGCTGAGAACCTTATTTTACGGACAACAATAGTATAATAGCTGGATCCATGTTTAAATTAGAAACATTTTTACCACACATAGTTGAGATTATTTCTAATAAATGATATCCCGTATTTCTTGTAAAAATTTCGTCCATTTTTGTTTTCACTAAGTCTCTAAAGGCGCGTTCTTACGAGTCAAGTTTAGTTGACCAATTTTAGTTGATCAACAAAAGTTGAATACAACTTGAATTAATTTTTGTTCACATATTTCAATTAAAACTGATTCAGCGATTCAATGTAAAAATGGCGTCGAATGCGGTTGTGCGTGAATGTGTGCAAAGTATTGCTGTTTTGTTAAAAGAAGAACTGAAAAGAATTGCTAATAATATGAACAAAGGTCGTAAGAAACGTCGTTTTTGGGTGAGGCAGTGGATTCTGAGAAGAAATAGATTGGGAGCATCAGAAACGTTGTTGAAGGAGCTTGCATTAGAGGATAAAGAAGGGTATAGAAATCAGTTAAGAATGTCCGAAGAAAAACTTGAAGAGCTGCTGTCAAAAGTGCAGGATGTCATAAAAAAACAAGATACAGTAATGCGACAAGCAATCTCACCAAGATTAAAGCTGCAAGTTACTTTAAGGTATTTAGCTACAGGGGATTCATTTGCAACACTTGCTTCGGTATACCGAGTACCAAAAAATACCATTTCAAATTTTCTGGGAGAAGTGTGTACAGCAATATACGACACATTACAAGATTTTATTAAAGTAAGTATAAACATTTTGCAACAAAAGTAGGTAATATAAAATTTAGTCTATTATAAGTCTAAGACACCTGTTAGAGCTGCAGTAAGTATATCAGATGGCTCCTGCGAATCTTCTCCACTTTGTTGTCTGTTGCATGATTCATTTGAAAATGAAGACGAGGAATGTTCTGGGTCCATATTGTTTGATAGCGCTGGCGATGGAGATGAATGCTGGTGATGGCGTTGTGTGATAGTAATACTCAGAAGGTGGACACATTGATGATGGAGTTGTACGATACTCGGACTGTCTCCCTGATAAGAGCTGCAATCGCTTTTGTCGTACTATAGTTTGAATTTGTTCCTTGCAGATGATGGCATCGTAAAGAGGCATCTGTCTTAGCTGGACCGCAATATGTTTGGCAAAAATGTCGAATTCATTCATCATCAACATTGCCTGTATTTTTTTGCACTACTTCATCAAGTTTATCAATTGCTGCGCTTATATTTGAAATATTTTCATTATCTGCTATTTTCCGTTTGCGATTGTGAGGAGCACGAAAGACATTTGTTGTCTTTGATTGCTTTGTAGTAGGCAGATTGGCAGTTTTTTTGTTTTCTACATGTATCGCTTCTTTCTGGGTAATACCATTGGCAATAGTAATAGATGTAGACGTTGATGCAGGATACATATTTTCTGTTTCTGTTTCTTCTGTATTTTCGATGGTTTCGCTTTCAGCTTCATCATGTTGTGAATTCTAAAGGAAAAATAGAACTTTATTAAAATATCTTATATTAGGAAAAAAGTGAATTAAATATGCAGCAAAATTTGAAAAATATTTTTTTTCAGGTGCCGCAAAATGAAGAAGAATGGAAGACAATTCAAAGAGAATATTATTTTCGATGGAATTTTCCTGTTGTGGTGCATTAGATGGAAAACATATTGTAATACGAAATGCGCCTCACAGTGGATCAGAGTATTTTAATTATAAAGGGACATATAGCGTAATTTTGTTTGCGTGCGTTGACGCAAACTATTGCTTTCGCTATTGTGACGTAGGTACAAATGGACGAGCAAACGATGCTGCGGTTTTTGCAAAATCATCATTAAATACAGCATTAGAAAATGTTAGGAATACGTTACATTTTCCAAAAGGAGGAGTATTTGTAGCTGACGATGCTTTTCCCTTAAGACCCTACATTTTAAAACCCTTTGGAAGAAGTACTCATTTATCTAGAAAACAGAACATTTTTAACTCTCGTATCAAGAGCTCGTCGCATTGTAGAAAATGCATTTGGAATTTTGGTTTCTAGATTCAGAGTGTTTGAACGACCTATAGCGGTTGGAATTACCAAGGTGGACAAAATTGTTAAAGCAGCTTTAGCATTACATAATTGGTTAAAAATGAGTTCGGGTGAAAAATATACATCAACAGGGTCTTTTGATACTGAAGATCTAAATATCAGGCGTATTATACCGGGTTCTTGGAGAACACAAAGTACTGAAGCGAATGGTGTAGTTAATTTGCACGTTAATTTAGGAAGTCGTAACTATTCAACATTAGCATCTACTGTACGTAATGAATATGCCGAATATTTTTCCGGACATGGAGCTGTGCCCTGGCAATTGAATATGATACACGACGATGTAAATAATACTTAAAAGTTTATGTAAAAAAAAAATAAATAAAAAGCATACTTACTAAATTTGATGAGGTATTCCTTGTATTTGTAACACCATTTAAAAATATATCCGCTCTTTTATACCAAAACAACTTTGGCACGTACAATTCATCTCTTCCCATCCCACTATGTATCGATTTGCAAAACCAATGAATGTTCTTTTCTATACATTGTTCTAATAATCTTGATTTTGTTTTTTAGTTCAGCAATAGTAATACCAGGAATTTCCATTTCCTTGACAATACAACCCAAAGCAACTTTCTCGTGCGTCTCTATTTCTAAATTTATCCGTTCGGTGGTCCCACAGACAATCATACCTCTGATACAACTCCAAAAATTTCATCATAATACTTTCAGACCACTTGAGACTCATGCTTTTTAACTATTTTATGAACACCTAATTATTTTATAAGCCAAACAAACGCACGTACANAAAATCGAGGGGCACCGAAACGATTGTGTTAAATACTAATGGGTTATACGTACGATATGACATTTGAATTCTACGTTGAGGAAAGAAATATTTTGAAGAAGTACTCAGTAGATGGTTATAAATTTGAATGTGTTAATAAAGGTTTTAAGGTACCAGAGAAAAGTTTCAAATTAAAAATGGAAGGATATGGAAGTTGTGAGGTAATGGGTACTTTTAATAAAGTGATAAAATGTGACACTCTTTTATGTAAAATAAAACACTTTATTTAAGTTATGTTTTTTATTTAACCCATTCGATGCCAAACTTTATAAATTAATTTTTGTATTATTTTTATTTACAGTTTAGGTTTTGATTAATAGAAAAATGTTAAAAAAAATAATTTTTAATTTGTAGACCATAGTAGGAAAAAAACAGATTGTTCCAAATTTGGAACTTGGCCAGATAAAGGTACATTAGGTAGTATTAAAAAGANAGTTTGCTTGGGTCAAACTTTTCTTGATCAACTACAAAGTTGATCAACTTTCTTGAACGACAGGTTCTCACAACAGTTTTGATTCAACTTTTGTTGATCAACTAAAATTGGTCAACTAAACTTGACTCGTGAGAACGCACCTTAACGGGTCCCGCAATGGCATTAATTGCGTTTTTAAAGCTGTCAATCATTTTAATTAATTCAACGAAATATAGCGCCATAAGCCAATTGCGCACGAAATCTTCAGCAGCAACATCGTCATCAAAACGTTGCTTCTTTCATCGGTCTAAACAGGTGGTAGTCGCAGGACGATAAGTCCGGACTGGATAAGTTCGGACTGGTGTTCCAGTGTAGTCCACGGCAATGTTTTAATTTTTCCATGGTTAAGGCAGCTGTAAGAGGCCGGGCATTGTCTTGAAGCAGGATAACATCTCTAATGGAAAAGCCGCGTCTTTTCTGACGATATGCTGTTTATACATTATCTAAAAGTTGGCAGTAGTACGCAGCATTTACAGTTCGACGTTTGTGCATACACCCAAGTTTTGTCACAAGTCACTATCCGGTGCAACAAACCTTTCCCTTCAGCCTCATAGCGGTTCAAATGCCGTTGGCACACTTCCATACGATTCCGTTTTTGATTTTCGGCGAAAAGACGAGGTACCCACCTTGCGAAACCCGAGGTCGTCAGTAATGATCGTTTGGACACTGCCAAAACTGATTCCCACCTCGGAAGCAATTTCAGCTACTGTTAGTCGTCGGTCGTCCTCTGGAAGTCGGTGAACAGTACGAATGTTCTTTGTCACGCTGATTCTTGGTCGTCGTGCTTTTCGGGTAAAAATAGTCTTTCTTCGGAGATTGTTTTTCACGTTTGACTGGTGAATGTTTTTGAATTAGGTACTTTGTGAATGCACCTGATATACCACTGCTGCTCGTGTACGACTTTAGGATTGCACCGGCTGAGACTTTCTTGCTTCTATGACACTGGGATATTTTTGGACGGACTTCCACTTATCCATTAAGGTTTTAATATGTCTCTGAATGGGACGATATAGCACTTAGCACTTGGCGGGTGTTCGCGGCGTGAGTCATACCGTCATACTTGGTCGCACGTCGGGTATAATGATCAGCCTATTTTCATGATACTCTGTTTCAAACACAAGATTGTCAATTTTATTTTGCAATATCAACCTGGTCCCAACTGATAGTTTTCTTAGCTTTTCCGCTACTAATTGACCGTAAAGTGCAGCTGCATCTGCATCTATTACTTAAATTATGTAGTGCAATTCTTGGTTCTTTTAAATGAATTTCTATTTGATTCTGTTCATCACTAGTTCGTTGTCCGTTTTCTTTTTTGTGATTGTTTGAGGCTTCTGGAACTGAGGTTTGGTTCTTTCGATGTTAGTATTTGAAACTGAATTTTCAAGTCTAGCTTTCAAGTTTTTCAAGTCTTGAATTTCCTCACGTTGATCCAATTCCTGACCCATTTATCGTCTCTTGCTCCCGTACAAGAGATCCATCACCAATGAGCTCATCCTAAAAATTATGCACACTACGAAATTAAGAATCACTGAAACACAACGAAAAGAAAATGAAAACACACCAATGGTAAAATACAATGTTCTTAAAATGATAGCGCAGAACGTCTATAATTTATTTTTAATTGAATAAAATTTTAATTTTTAATTGAATGAATTGGAAGTATTTTTTTTCAGAAATAATGTTACTTAAAATGTTTAAAAAAGGGAGGGAAGATTAACAAATCCACAACTATATCTTTGTTTTTTCAGCTTCCAAAATCAGAAGAACAATGGATAAAAGTTGCGAATGGCTTTGATAGATGGGAAACACATTATACTACAAGCTCCATTTAATACCGAATCTGAATTTTTAGTATTATGCTTATGGCTTTAGTCACTTCGAAATATTGTTTCATATTTGCAAGTTCATCACTGTATTGTTGAATTATTCGGAAGGAACTTTTACTAACACCAATTGAATGTGTCTTTAAAGACTTAAAAAACGCACGATTCAACGGCTGTAAATAGTGGAGGCAAACATAAGAGACTAATATCCTGTTGATCAGCATACTTGAGCATTTCCAAATTGGTTGTATGTAAACTGTTTCCATCTACTAAGACAACCTTTTCTGGTATTTTTTCCCGGAACGAAATGGGTTTGTAGCCAATAGAAAAATATTTCGGATTTAGCGTACGCCCATTTTCCCTACATATAATAGTCTAGCCAGGTGGTATGCCATCCAGAAATTCCTCCTTATTTTTTCTTCCATAAATGGAAAATGGTGGTATAAATATTTCTTCGGCATTGCAGCATGCCAAGACACTTATCGCTTCCCCCTTTCCCTAGAACAATGAATATGGTTGTTTTTTTTTTTCGTGACATTTGAATTTTTTGATGAAGAAGGAAATCTTTTGGAGAAACGTGAAATAGAGGTAACCGAATTTGAATGCTTTATTAAAGATTGCGACTTACCAGAAAAGTGTTCTTATATAAAAATCGAGGGGCACCGAAACGATTGTGTTAAATACTAATGGGTTATACGTGCGATATGACATTTGAATTCTACGTTGAGGAAAGAAAT